AAAGATGACGTGCCTATTTCCTTTAACGATGTTCACAGCAAGCTGGGCAAAGCAATGAGAGAACATTTCCCACAGACAGGGGGAGGTTACGGTTCACTGTCATTTACATTTACACCTGGAGAGGCTGCAGCAACCATGTTGCTCAGGGCACGCCAACAATACACAATGGCAACTGACTACAGTCCAGATAATAATGACCAACATATACAGATGTTCCGTAAAGCAGTGCTTGCAGCGGTGCCGAAAGAAATTAAAAGTCTGATGGAGGACAATCCAGAAGTAGATCAGTTAAACACACAGACGTGGGAACGTCATTTAGCCCATCATTTGAGTAGATTTAACAAACAACATACAGAGGTTAAAACTGAGGAAGAGGAGTTGAGGGTGCAGTTACTGCGAACGCAGCTGGAAATAGCCCGGAAAACAGTTCAGAATGACAAAAAGAATGCCAAACAGTTGATTGTTCACCCAGTAGCGCCGGCCGTGCAGCCACAGGGGCAGCAAAACCCAAAAGGGGGCCTTTCCAACCAGGGTCCGCCCTATAGTCAGCCCCAATTTGGCTACGATAATAGCTCTTGGCAACAGAGGGGCGGGTTCAGAGGCGGGGTCAGAGGTCGAGGTGGCTTTGGAATGACTCCTGGATTGGAATACGTGAAGGTGTGTTTCATATGCGGACAGCCAGATCACTGGTTCAAGCAGTGCCCACATAAAGCCCCACCAGGAAGGGGGCGGGCTAAAGGGGGACAGAGAGGATACGGAGGGGGGAACGGATCAGAGAGACCATATATCCAGACACCCCAGGAGGCTGTCCCATTGCCGCAACAACCGAACCAGGGTCACATTGCCCCTAATGCTATGGCCACCCCATATGGCCAGTTTGTCCTGTATGATGGGGAGTACTACGAAGAATGACGCCCAGGGAACTCTGGATGTACGGGCCTGGCGGATCCATACATTAATATGACTGTTAAAGACTCAAACCTACCATTCCTTGTTGATTCAGGAGCAAGATATTCCACCATCAATTCTCCCGTCTTCAAGGCGTCCCTTTCATCTACAACAGTCTCAGTCATAGGGTTTTTGGGAAAAATTGAAAAAATACCGCTTTTCACGCTGTTATCCACCAAGATAGCAGGACAGACATTCTTACACCAGTATATTCTTGCACCTAAAAGCCCGGCTAACCTCATGGGTAGGGATATTCTGATCAAAGCGAATGCCTCCATCCTCTGTTCCCCGGATGGACTGATAATATCATTCCCAAATGGCACAACCATCAATTGTTCGTTATCTACCGTAAAATCAGGTTCTCAGATGATGTTGGCCCAGTCCACTGAGGCAGAAGCAACCCAACATGCCACTATATTCTGGGGACTGTTGGACCGACCTCGGGACAACACACCTGGACTATATTCCATTTTTCAACAATGGAAGCCATGGATTAACCTCCTCAGGTCTTATGGCCCCCCTCCAGACCCCCCCCCACCTGACGCTGAATTATGATAGAAGAGACGACCAAAGTTATGAATATGAGTATGATAATGAGGTGTCTATGGCCGTTTGGGACGTTACCACGACAAATCTCTTTGTGGGACAGGCGGGTGTGGCTGCGTCGGTTGAGCTCTCTGATGAACAACTGTACTGGTACCGTTTGTCTGCTGAGTCCACACCACACATTTCATTAGCGATCAGAAAGGGTTATGAAGCTAAAGAACTTGGTCCCATGGTAAAGACGCTGCTAGAAGTCGAAGATTGGGAACCTACGCAGATCGCGGCACTGACATACTCTCCCTCACACAGAGCTTATCGTCTTAAAATCTACACACAAGAATGCATCCACATGGAGAGACACGAAGTAGATAGACATCATGGTAGGGAAAAAACTGACCATGCATATACAGTTGACATGTTGCGTGATCTCCCGTCTGACCTGTGGGCGTCGCACTCTCATGATGTAGGTTTCTGCTTAAAAGCCACACCAGTAACATTTGAGGTGAGCAGCTCTGTGCCTGTGAACCGGTCACAATACCTGATCAAACCACAGGCAAAAGGGGGTGTTGACAAGGCAGTTGAGGGACTGAAGAGAGCAGGGGTGTTAGAACCCTCACAAAGCCTTTGGAATACTCCCATACTTCCTGTATCAAAATCTAGCGGGGAGTACAGAATGGCTCATGATTTGAGAACCGTTAATGCTATTACGACTACAGCTCTGATACCAGTTCCTAACCCCTACACGGCTATCTGTAATGTCTCACCTGAACATACATGGTTCACCTGTATTGACCTAGCCAACGCTTTCTTCTGCATACCTCTGGCAGAGAGTATGAGACCTATTTTTTCTTTTACAATAGGAGGGGAGAAACTACAATACACAAGACTACCACAAGGCTTCAGTTTGTCTCCAGGAATATTCAACAAAGTACTTGCCAGTGGGGGTAGTATTAATACAGTATGTAGACGACCTTCTCATCGCAGCACCTTCTGCAGCCTCTTGTTTGGAGGCCACCAGAAACCTTCTGGTGCGCCTCCACACATCAGGGTTCAAAGTCTCCAAGAAAAAGCTACAATGCACCCGTAAAGAGGTGACATTTTTGGGCAGAGTGATTTCCCCAGCAGGCACGGGCATGTCAGCAGCGCATCAGGAACACATTTTGAACCACTCGAAACCCAAGACAGTCAAAGACATGTTGTCTTTTTTGGGCCTCACAGGCTACAGCAGGCACTACATCCCAGAGTATAACCCAAGAACAGCTGAACTCAGAAAACTCATCAATGAGAAAGGCATGCGCAATCTCACTGCCACACTAGACTGGACACAAGCGGCAGAAGCTGCGTTCATTTCTCTCAAACAATCCATGTCCCAAGTCACGGCTCTCGCCGCTGCATCCTATGCATTACCATTCTTTCTTGATGTTTCTGAAAATGAAAACACAGTAAATGGGATTCTTTTTCAGAAAAAGGGGGGTTGTAGGACAATATTGATGTATGTCAGTGTTACACTGGACAGAGTGGAAAACAGAGAACCTCCCTGCATGAGACACGCGGCAGGTACAGCACGTATCTTAAACAAGATTTCACACATTGTGATGAGCCATCCTTTGACAGTACTGACAACACACAGCATTGTCTCTTTTGTGAACTCAAGTGCATTCACAATGACTTCAACGAGACAAACAAGGCTGGAGAAAACTCTGACAAAGGCACACATCACATACACACACGAAGGAGTTAACAGCGCAGACACCATAGGTAGCGGAGAGCCCCATAGGTGTGAGGAAAGAATCATCCCAGATGTGAAGCTAAGAATAGATCTCAGAGACGAGCCCATCCCACAGGCAGAAAACCTGTTCACAGACGGCTGTTGTTTTAGACACCCCCAAAACGGCCTCCAAGCAGCCTATGCCGTGGTAAAACAAAAACCTGAGGGAAACTTTGAGGAAGTATTAGCTGGGGAAGTAACAGGGAAAGTATCAGCACAGTTGGCAGAAGTAATGGGAGTCATTGCAGCATTAGAGCTATCAAAAGGAAAGGATGTAAACATCTACACTGATTCAGCATATGTCCACGGCGTAATTCACGTGGAAATGCGACAATGGTTGAGAGCAGGATTTGTAAAGTCCACAAATACCCCCATCAAACATGAGAAAGAGATCAAAAGGCTTGCAGAAGCAGTAATGTTGCCCAACAAGTTAGCTTTACTTAAGTGTAAAGGTCACAACGCAGAAAACAACTACTTGGCTTGGGGTAACAATGCAGCAGACAAAGCAGCTAAAGAGAAGGCAGGATATACACCATGGTATCAAATGCTTGTCTTAAAATCTGCTGACTTGCTGCCCGCAATAACAGATGAGACGCTTAAAGAAGCTCAAGAAGCGGGGTCTCCTCAAGACAAAAAACTATGGTCAAACAGGGGAGCTACCAACAAAGAGGGGATATGGTACTCCCCAGATGGGAGACCGGTTATACCCCCAGAGTGGATAAGATCCATGCTTAAAGAAGCACACGGCCCAACACATTGTGGTAAAACTCAGATGAACAGGCACCTGACCCACTGGTGGCACCCATACCTACCAGACATGATAGCAAATCACCTAGAAGAGTGTGTAATTTGCTTAACCCATAACATCAGAGCCACTGTGAAACCACACCAGGGAAAGTTGCCTTTACCTAAGATGGCAGGAGAAGAAATCATCATTGACTACACTGACATGATTGACAAAGTAAGAGGATTCAGATATTTGTTAGTAGTAGTAGATGGATACACAGGTTGGCCAGAAGCTATCCCTTGCAGAAGAGAAGATGCAGACTCAGTGATCAAATTCCTAGTCACGCATTACATTCCATTACATGGATTTCCTAGGAAAATGAGGTCAGACAATGGCAGCCATTTCAAGAACCATGACCTACGCACAGTAGAAGAGTTCCTAGGACTAAGACACAGTTTTGGAGCAGTTTATCATCCACAGTCTCAGGGAAAAGTGGAAAGGATGAACCAGAACTTAAAACAAAAACTCAGCAAAGCATGTGAATGCATGAAATGGTTAGACGCATTGCCTCTAGCTCTTATGTCAATCAGGAGCTCCATTAACAAAGGGATAGGTTTCTCTCCATTTGAGCTCACTTATGGTCACCAGTTCCCAGGTCCAGGAGCCCTAAGTGTAGGAAAGGAAGTAGAGGTTCTGAGTTCGAAACCATACTTCCAGCAACTTAAGGGATTAGTGGCAGATTTTTCCACCCAGGTTGCAGAGGCAAAAGGGGGACCCGAGAAACACGAAGCGAACACTGCGGAGTTCGTCTGGCTGAAAGCGATCAGACCCAAGTGGCTGAGACCCAGGTTCTCTGGACCCCATCGGGTGATGCAGAGGACATCTCACGCTGTCCGCTTGGAAGGGAAAGGAGACATCTGGTACCACTGGAATCAGTGCGCAGTGGGGAAACCTCCGGGAAGGACCCTAGACGACATCATCACGGACGTGGGCCGCGCAGAGGAGGAGGAACCAGAGGACGTCGAGGAACGGCCCTGAGGGAACGAGGCAGAGCGGGGTGGATCAACGCTTCCAGATGGCGTCTGTCTCCTCCACCGGAGGCTGGCGTGTGAAAGCTGTCATCATCCTCCTCGTGCTGGGCCTGCTGTACCTGTCCAAGGTAGCCCCGCTTGATGAAGCTGTGACCATTCCAACGACAGGTGGCGAGGGCTCTCGCCCCTCGGGGGGAGAAATTAAGGTACTCTTATCTAAGGGCCCAGACCCTGAGGGCAAAATCACACCAACGGGCCAATCAGTGCCTAGCGACAAAGACAGGTTGTTTCCAATCACCACACAAACATTCAGTACGATGAGAGAGAGACACAGAGAGAGAAGAAGGAGGAATGCCCCTCTCTCTGCTCACGAACCACAGAAGGTTTCTTTTAACTGCCCAACTGCAATATGTAACTCACCAAACTGTGTTATTACGTACCCTGTGTTTTTTAGCAAGGGTGGCGACTCCACGGTGTGGAAAGCGTATCCAAGGACGCAGTATCAGGAGTTCCGGGTCTCGTCACGGATGGTAAGAATAACACTCAACACCATTGCAAATATGCCCCCAGAACTGTGGTGTAGCACGGCAGAACAGTTAAAATATGAGTCCCAGTGCACGGCACGGAAACCAGATTACAAAGCTCCCAATTCGGGGGTCACTGGATGTGCATTTATTGAACCAGAGCATGAAACAGATTTTTCTAATTTAGGGGTCGCCGGACATGCCTCTATTAGAACATATATTGAACCATATCATGAAACAGGTTTTCCGGAAAAAACCCTAATATCCACTCCACCTAAACAAACAGGAGAGGATGTAGATTCTTCAAAAAAGGCCTTAATCGCTCCACCTAAACTAACTAAGACCAATTCGGCAATGAGTTTAATGTTAGACTATGCACATGAACGCAATGTTAGCAACTGTTGGCTGTGCCAAAACATGCCAGAATCCGTACATTCTCCCATGTTTAGCCCAATTCCTTTCACGAAAGCTGACTACGGTTTAGTTAGCTGGAATGACATAGCATCCCGCATTGGAGATGAGGCCGAGGATTGTTACACTCCTTCGTATCCAATAAACTCTGAGAAACCTCTACAATACAAGGGTTTAATCTCGCTCATTGTTGAGACAGTAAATAAAGATTACCTGCCAGAGGGGTTCAAACAGTTGACGGTCCTAAGACTAATATATGTGAAGAAATATATTAACCTAGCTTTTGAATACAGATTCCAATTAGCTCTAGCCCAGACTAATTGCTCGGTTAACTTTACCAGTCCAATATGTACACTGCAACCACACACTCCATCTTTATTAGTTGAGGCTTTGGTAACAGTAGTGCCCTGGTTTGGCTCCAGAACAGTGGACTCAGTTGAGGTTCAAATTAGGGCCGGGACTTTAACGCGTTAATTAAGATTAATTAATTACACAAAAATTAACGCGTTAAAAAAATTAACGCATTTTAATCGCACTTATTTTTGCACCGCGGAACGTTTCTCACTGGATGAGTTTCAGGTGTACCGATTATACTGGAGCACCAACTAACGTTCATGACTTCAGACAACAACAAACCACAGTGAACAACAGTGGGAAATGTTGTTTTAAAAAACGGACGGATGGAAGCGTCGATAAGAGCACGGTTGTGTGCAAATTATGCAAAAAGGAATTCGCATATCACCGCAGCACATCAAGCCTCAAGTATCACCTCAATGCAAAACATATAGCAGCTAGCGTGGAAGCTAGCGTGGAAGCTAGCGTGGACGTTAGCCTCTTTTATCGGGTTCACACCAAAAAGAGCCGGTACTAAAATTAGTTCATGAGAACCTTTTTACCCCCACGAAAGTCCCTGCTAGAGAGCAGAGAGCTGCTAGAGAGCAGGGACTTTCGTGCGGCTCTCTTGTGAGAAAAGAGCTATATTTCTGATTGGCTGGGCGGATTGCAAACCACGCCCCGTAAAACTCCCAAAAAGTTTTGTGAAGCCACCATTTTATTATCCTCGCATTAGCATTATTAGCATTAGCCCAGCGCAGAAACGCAGAGAGACTAACTTATGGCAACACAAAATAAAACATGGGAGCGGTGGAGATGAGGAGGTGTCGGCGTTCTGGCGATTTACTCGGAAGGCTTCAGTAGAAGCTGCTGGGACTCCCAGCAGCTTCTACTGAAGCCTTCCCCAACTCCGGGGACTTCCGGCCGGGGACTTTGGGCGGCAGTATACGCCGTGAAGTGGTTTGCGGCCTGCCAGTAAACCCAAAGCAGAAGAAGAAGAAGTGACGTCAGCGGCTTCATTTGCCTAATCCACCCCCAGGTTCAAAGAGTTCTCATGAACTAAGTTCTCATGAACCTTTGTGGGAAAAGTACTGCGGTGTGAATGCGCCTAATGGTATACTAAAATCCATGTGAAAAAAAATTGCTTCTCACTGTTCTTAGGTCAAATATGTATATGCGATTAAAAATGCGATTAATTTCGATTAATTAATTACAAAGCCTCTAATTAATTAGATTAATTGTTTTAATCGAGTCCCGGCCCTAGTTAAAATACATGACTGTTCGCAGCCATTACCCTTAGGTAAGTCCCCTACCCGTGACTGTTCTGTCTATGTTCCCCCAGTTGTAGTACATGAGTGGAAGAATGTGTCCATCTGTTTCCAGAATGAAAGAGGATCTCTTACTTCTCCAGATGTGGGCCACAGCGACTGTAATACCGTAATAAAGGTGCAGTTAGCCAGAACGCCCCTCCCGCAGAGGGTTTACTTAGTTTGTGGGGACCGAGCCTATGGCTGTATGCCTTATGACATTTTATATGGCACCTGTTACCTGGCCTATCTAATCCCTTTAATCCGTAAAGTAAAGACTGATGAGATTGCAGCTATACTTCCTTCTCTACATAGAAACAGCAGGTCGATTACAGAAGGACAGCGGATGGCTAGTCTATTTTTACCATGGTACGGTATTTATGTTTCTCAGCAGGAAATTGTGGCGTTGTCCAAAGTAGTGGAAAATCACTTAAATGCATCTAACACAGCCATGTTAGCCGAACATAAAGAATTACAGGAGGTTAGGACTGTAGCATTACAGAATCGTATGGCACTGGATCTTTTATTAGCCGCCCAGGGGGGCACATGCAAGGTGATTGGATCTGAGTATTGTTCTTTCATCTCTGATGCTACACCTGAGGTCATGGATATGGCTCATGATACCGCCAGGGGGATAAAAGAGTTGCATGAAACTCATGGGTTTACCCTTGGGGATTTAACTGGAACTTTTGGATCGTGGGGTGCGGGGTTGGTTAAATTTGCAGTAACCGTTTCAATGTTTATCTTAGTTGTGCTAATTGTGATAATCTGCTTGGTCACTGTAGTTAAACTAGCCATACGAAAGATGACCAAAACCGCCCTCCAGGCTCCACAGAGACTAGTAGGATATTCCACAGTTGATGACTCCGTGTTGATGTATGACGCCCAGCTTTCAGATCCGTGGGGCTCAATCACGTCTTCTGCGCCATGGGGACCCCCACACAATGAATGACAAGTTGATTAAAATTGACACTCAGAATGTAGAAGATGTATATAGATTTTACCTTTTCGGGTTTTTACACTACGCAATAAATGTCTGATTCTTCTTTTTCAGATTTTTGAACAATGTATTTGACTAAAATGAATGTATAGATAAGTGCCTTACTTTTGACTAAAGCGTAATGAAGTATACGTGAAGTAATGTTAAAGCTTGAAGACACTGCAATTTTGCAGATTACAGATTAATTGAATCACCACTGTGAATGTTATACTTTGAACTGTGAATTTCAACTGGACCTTTACAATCCAGATTTTATACCTCAGGTGGATTGCTAATAATCCTAAATGTTAAATGTGTTTTTACTATAATTGTCTTGAAGCAAATCTTTGAGATGCGAGCTATTTTTAAAGTTTGTAATTTGATGATTAAGGAGGACTGAATGATAAATGATAAAAGAGGTTATTTGGAAACATATATTTTACTATTTTCTTCTATATTTTTTGGTATGTTTATTTTTGTGCTATTGATGAACAATTTGTCTAAACACTGAGGACATATTTTGGTATTTCTACACGGTCATATGAAGTTGATATGTGGAGCCATTCCTGAATGTTTAAATAGTCTGAATCCCAGGTTATAATGTGAATGTCTTGAAATAGTTGATCTCTTAAAATGAGACCAAAAGGGGGATTTGTAGAGTTATATTTGTATTTATTCATGTTAGCAAACTATGGATAAGCTTAAAATGGGAATAATGTGGGTAAAACTGTGAGCTGTTGACATGTGTTTTTGAGGACAAAGGAAGATGGGGGAAGGTGAGAGCATATCTTGATTTGCATTCAGCTTAGATCTTGCTACAGTGATTGGGGAAACCTAAGATTTGAGGTGTTAGTGATATTTGGGGCTGCCAATCAAGGAGGTCCGAATGGGAGGATCTGATAACTCCTCCCATTGTCAAAGAGTATGAACACAGACACACACGCGGTGTTCTTTCTCTTTCCTCTGGCTGGCTCACGTGCAGGTAAATTCGGGATCCCAAAGATTAACTGTATTGAATTTGTACTGTATTGATTGTATTGTATTGTCATATTACCATTAAAATAGATTATTGTTTACTTGGTATCTCTGGATTTCTTCCTGTATTAACCAGCTTGATAGGGACGCGCGGAGATTTGAAAAGCGGACTAGATATCCCTTTTAATCTCTAACAGGTGGCATGAATCTCCATCTATGTCCAGCAGGTTCTGGCAGTGCTTGTCTCTTATTCTTGTCTCCAGCCCAGACTTGCTCCCTCTCCTCCCATTACACGAGTCCAACATAATGCCGACCATGTTTGAAAATGGGATTTGATGGTCTTTAAAAAAGGCGACTAATACCTAATTCACACCAACGCAACTCCGGTTCAAGCTCCGTGCTAGAGCTTTTCAGGTTCAGAACCGGTTCTTCGGTTTAGCTCCGGCTCTTTTCACACCGCCCAGAGTCCGACTGGTGCTGCGTCATTGCGTCATCGTTTGCGTCATGACGTAACCGTTTGCGTGCCTGCTTCATAAAGCCAAACCGCGCGGAAACCCCTCACAGCTCACAACAACAACAACAACAATGGCCGATTGTGCTCCAGCTTCCTCTGTACCTCTTCGGAAGACCAGATTCCCAGCAGGTAGCTGGTCTCTTCAGTGGACCACTGCTGCTTGTTAAGTTTCTCCATCGTTGTGTACAAACTGGATAAAACGCCGGCTTTTTGTTGTTGTTCAGGAGTTGATCCCGCCCCTGCCCTCGCCTCGACGTAAGCGTGACGTATGTGGTGCTTTTGCTCTGGCTGGACAATTTTTTGGTGCTTGAAACTAACCGGATTCCAGAGCTAAGAGGTGGCTCCGCTGCGGTGTGAACAGGAGAACCCGGTGCTTTTCAAGCTCCAGCTCCGAACCGGCCCTGAAACACCGTTGGTGTGAATGAGGTATAAGGCAGTTTCCAAGTGATAAGCCGTGCCTTTAAGGACTTTGATGGAGCCAAGGTGCTCCACCACCACATGCTTCAGCTCCTGATTGAAGTAGCTTACTAAAATTGACAACACCTTCTTGTTGGAGTTTGACGTGCTCTCATCCAGGTTGATCGAGAATGGACTTATCTAGGGTAGTATCTAGGGGAATTTCCTGTTCTGCTTATCAAAGTCTAGGCTTAACTATTTAATTATCTGTGATAACTAGCACACAAACTGGCTAACCAACACTCACCTCTGCATTTGCTATCCTTTCAAACAGAGGTACTGGCACCTTCACTCTTCCCCTCATCTGCTCAGGGCCCTGAGTTGATGGCCCCTGCAGTGACTGGCCCTGAGTTGTTGATACTGGTACAACACTGAGTGTGGTCATAATACTCACCACCTTTTGACTATGTTTTTCGGTTTTACAGTGTGCCAAAAGTGCATGGGAGCCCTTGGTGGAATAATTAATTTCCTTGCAGCAGAGGCTGCAACGGGAATGGCCTGGTTTCTCAATTTGTGTGGAGAATTGCGACAAAGGGAACGCATATTATTATCCCCTAACCTCGTTCCTCGAGTCTAGCTTCAGCCAGGACCAGTGCCATTTGCACCTGACTCCTGCCTCTAGTTGAGCCACAGTAAGGGCATCCTCTTCCTCAAATTCTCTCATTCTGAAAATACATTTAAGTTGGAAAGTGGTTAGTAGGCTAGGCTGCATAGACTGGTGAAATGTGATGCTAACATAACGGGCAAGGCAAGTTCATTTGTATCAGAGGTGGGAAGTAACTAAGTACATTTACTCAAGTACTGTACTTAAGTACAATTTTGAGGTACTTGTATTTTACTTGAGTATTTCCATGTTATGCTACTTTATACTTCTACTCTACTACAATTTAGAAGCCAATATTTAACTTTTTACTCAACGTCATTTATCAGACAGCTTTAGTTACATAAAAAACGATTATTAAATATACATTAGGTCAAATGATGGTTAAGATATCCAGAAGCAGTATATCAAGTAAATACAAATACATTTGCCAACTGTTATGAACACATTAATTAAAATACACTAGCTAAAAGGTAAGATTTTAAATGCAGAACTTTTACTTGTATCAGACTATTTTCACAATTTAGTATTGCTACTTTTACTTTACTTATGTACAAAATCGGTGTACTTCTAATCTACCTCTGATTTGTATAGCACACTTCATACACAATGGCAATAAAAAGCCATATTATGAAACAGCAAAGGAATAAAAGGACATTTAAAGAGAAATAATTATGAGTCCCTGGCGCTTCTCCATCACCCTGACGTGACACATTTTTGATATTATATTATGTTATTTCAAGATGGAAACATTTTATTTGTATTATATATAATATAATCAAATATAACAATCAAAACTAAATAAGTAGTAGTAAGTATTAGGGCTATCCTGGCACTTGTTAGCATTAACTTTAATTAATTAAAAAAGAACAAAAGAAAATATTTTACTTAAACAGGAAAAGTACTCCGGTGTGAACGCGCCTATTGACACCATGGAGGAATGTAACGGGAGTTGACAGGGGACTCTGCCCGCCTCACGAGTAGGGTTGGGTATCGTTTGAATTTCCAGGATTCTGATTCCGATTCTACTTTTCGATTCCGGTTCTTAACGGTTCTCAATTCCGATTCTTTGAGGGGCAGGGTAAAAAAATGATACATGCTTTGTAGAAAAGGCCCCAAAGTTATAGTTATTGATATATATATATTGTGGTGACACGTTATTGGACATAATTCACCTTGCTTATTGTGTTGCCACACGGACCCTTTAGTGGGGAACACCTGTAGCTTTAGCTGCCATTCCTGCTAGCTCATCAGGCAGAGCAGTGCATGTGTTAACCTCTCTGATAGTAATGGATAATAAAGATTGGAACTCCATTCTTAATACACCGCCTCCGACTCTCTTTTCACGGCACTACACTGGTGACCCTGACTTTTCCGAGAAAGTTTCCGGAAAATGAACGAACATGGCTGAGCGCGATGTTTTCATAAAGCTGCCGGAATTCTGGGAGCACGCCGCGGAGGCATGGTTCGCACACATGGAGGCACATTTCGCCTGCCGACAGGTCCGTGACGGGGACCTGAAATACTACCTTGTGGTAGCAGCGCTGGGGAGCTCCACGTCGTCCAGGTTGGTGGGATTTATCACAGACCCCCCACACCATGGCAAATATGAGGCGATTAAGGCCCTTCTCCTTAAGACATTTAGCTTATCTGCTAAGGAGAGGGTCCGCCAGATACTTGACATGCAAGGCCTAGGAGACAGCAAGCCTTCCCAGCTAATGGAGAAAATGCTAAATCTGCTAGGGGGGGAAGATCCCCGGATATTATTCACAGAGATTTTCCTGCGTCACTTGCCTCCCCGGGTCCAGACGGCGCTGGCCAACACGCCTGTCGCGGAGCCCCGTGCCTTGGCTGAGAAAGCAGATCGTTTTTTCCTGGCTACACAACAGCCCGGTGCAGAGACGTTAGCCGCGACGCTCAGCGGCCCATCTGCAGTCAAGAAAGCGTGGCGGAGGCCGGACACGGCTGTATCGAGCCGGCGTGGAGACACCGGAGAGTGCTTTTACCACGCACGTTTCGGGACAATGGCGAAGAAATGCATCGCCCCGTGCAGCTACAAACCCCCGGGAAACGGAGAGGCCGGCGCTCAGTAGTGGCCCTGAGCGTCGGCGGCACGTGCAGGCTCCTCTTCGTCAGCGACAGCGTTTCGGGGAGCCTGTTTCTGTGTGACACGGGCGCTCAACGGAGCGTACTTCCAGCGTCGAGTGAAGACGTCACCCGGGGTGGGCACGGACCGTGATTGACGACGGCTAACGGTGGTCCCATTCGCACGTACGGCGTGAGGCCTATGTGTTTGTGCATCAGAGGACAGCGATTCAGCTGGGATTTTGTGACAGCGGACATTTATTTTCCCCTCCTCGGAGCGGATTTTCTGTGTGCTCATGGACTCTTAGTGGACGTTAAGAATAGGCGTTTGGTTGATGCCTTAACGTTTTCTTCCCTCGTGTGCACACTTGGCAGCGCAGCATATCGTCATATGCTGCGCTGCCAAGTGTGCACACGAGGCTGTCGGGCTCGCTGTCGGGGGCAGACACGTTTCTCAGACTGTTGACCGAGTTTCCAGACCTGTCGCTGCCCACCTTCTCTGCGCTTACCACTAAGCATGGCGTGGAGCACCACGTCACCACCGAGGGGCCTCCTGTCTACGCCAGGGCCCGGCGGTTGAACCCTTCTAAGCTGGCTGTAGCGAGGGCGGAGTTCGCAACCATGGAGCGCCTGGGCATTGTCCGCCACTCCGACAGTCTCTGGGCTTCTCCCCTGCACGTCGTCCCCAAAGCGAACGGCGGGTTCCGCCCGTGCGGGGATTACCGCCGACTCAACGACGCCACCACGCCTGACCGCTATCCGGTGCCGCACATTCAGGACTTTTCGGCGCATCTGGCCGGTACGGGGGTGTTTTCCAAGGTGGACCTGGTGGTATCACCACCAGGTGCCCATGCACCCTCTGGACATTCCCAAGACAGCAGTGATAACGCCTTTTGGACTTTTTGAGTTCCTGCGGATGCCTTTTGGACTCAAGAATGCTGCTCAGACATTCCAGCGCCTGATGGATTCGTTGCTGCGGGACCTGCCGTTTGTGTTTGTCTACCTCGACGACATACTCGTCGCCAGCGCTTCAGTGCAGGAGCACCTGTCCCACCTCCGAGCCCTTTTCACGCGGCTCAACAAACACGGATTAATCATCAATCCTGCAAAGTGCCAGTTCGGGGTGTCTGACATTGATTTTCTGGGGCACCGCGTCACCAAGGGCGGTGCGGCACCTCTGCCGGCGAAGGTGGAGGCCGTTGCGGCTTTTCCTCGCCCGCTCACAGC